GCCAAGACAGTGGAGGGACAGTTCTTTACATGCCAGAGAAGTGAGAGCAAATGTGGAAATACTAAGATCATCCTTCACTGCAGAATTGTTTGCCAGATCAGACACTGATGCATATGAACGAAGCTCAGCTCCTAATGCCTGCTAGACTTACCTATGGATTGCAGGGTTGCCACAGCACTTCCAGCGGCTACCCCTCCTCCATTGGCTACAGCCGCTGCTGACATCATCTTGGCAGCAGGTGTCCCAACTGCAATGCCTGCTCCAGTAAAGCCTGCTGCCCCGAGCGCTGCTGGGACAAGAACGGTGGCAACTCCTGCATGACAAAAAGTGCTGCAAAATGGGATGCCAGAGCACTGCATCTCCAGCTTCGGTCCCCAGAGCCACCCCCAGACCGGCTCCCTCACTGCTTCAATTGCTCATGCTCTGAACCACCACCCATGGCTCCATTTTTGCAGTGGCAAAATTCAATACAGGGCTTGTACATTTTCAAGCCCCCGTCCTGACTCCACCCCTTCCACGAGACCCCGCCCCTGCCCCACCCTCATTCCAACCCGTTCCCCAAAGTTCCCGCCCTAACTCCGCCCCCTCCCTGCCCCTATTCCGACTCCCTCTCCAAATCCCCGCCCCGGCCCCGGCTCTTCCCTGCCTCCTCCCCTGAGTACGCCACGTTCCCGCTCCTCCCTCCCCTCCCGGAGAGGCCAAGCAGCTGTTTGGCGGCAGCCGGGCAGGCAGCGCTGGGAGGTAGGTGGAGGAGCGCGGACACGGCGCTCTCAGGGGAGGAGGAGGTGGTGTGGGAGGAGGGGAGCTTGGCTGCCGGTGGGTGCCGAGCACCCACTAATTTTTCCCCGTGGGTGATGCAGCCCTGGCGCACCCACGGAGTCGGCGCCTATGTCTCCAGCCCCTCTCCCTGCTCTCCTGTGAGCGCCTGCAGCTTCGCATGGCTTGGGGCAGGCATCAGACAGCCAAGTGCCGCAGCATTCTGCTCCACACGGGTCATAAGGGCCAACACGTTCTCAGTAGGCGAGACTCCTGTGCTTTGGGAGAACAGATGAGCCAAGTAAACCCAAGGCGCAATAAATCTCAGTTACAATCTCAAGTATTTTGCAATATTGACCCACTGTCCTGAGCTTGCAACTTACCTAATCCAACAGTTGCTCCCACAGCAATGGGGATAAATCCTAGGAAAGGAGATGTTTATACTAGTGAGCCATCAAAGACTTCAGCAGATGATCAGCAGGTCAGAATAGAAATGGGGAGAGGCCTGTGATGCTGGTTAGCGTGAGTGACCTGGATTTTGTTTGAACGTTCCCTGTCTCTAAACATGCTGGATTCCACTTTGCCGTCATCTTTGAGCATTTCTACTCGATAATGAGCTATGTACTCAGAGCTCCACTCTCTGAAAGGCTCGCTCATTCTCTTGATTCAAGAGCACTGACCAGCCCCAGGCCTCCTGGTAGGGTGACCAGACAGCGAGTCTGAAAAATCGGGCCGGGGGTGGGGGGGTAATAGGTGCCTATATAAGACAAAGCCCCCAAAATCTGGACTGTCCCTATAAAATCAGGACCTCTGGTCACCCTAGCTCCCGGTGAGGCCAGCAACGCTGGGAAGATGGCTTCTGGGATCCTCGGGGCCGGGTAGGCGCAGCAGTGAAAAGGGAAATAAAGGGATATTTTAAAAGGGATGCTCCAAAAGGGATATTTTAAAAGGATCAAATAAAGGAGAACCAAGGGACCAGTGAGATCAGTGGAATGACTCCCGATTTACACTGCTGTAGCTCACCAGAATCTGGCCCCCTCCCAGTCTTTCCAAGCTAATGCTTGTCACAGTAAGCCTTTCTCTGCCTTAGTTCAATGGCAAATAGATCCTCACGCAAGCCGTGCTGTATGAACAGACCACTGGGCTGCATTAGAAGAGCAAGTTTCCCAGGCCTGCCCATGTACATAGGAATTGCCAAACTGGATCAGACCCGAGGTCCATCTCCATCCAGTTTCCGGTCTCTTACAGGGGCCAGAGCCAGATGCAAGAACCCCTGTTCTGGGCTTGCGGGGTTACTGGCTGCCTGCACGATACCCTGACGCATTCGTGTTGCCTGGGACGGAGACCGTTCCTGGTCAAAGCTCAGTTCGTGAAAGAGAAGGATCTTACCAACCATGACTCAGACTCTGACCCACACGCCCTGATGACTGGGATAGCAGCTCCGCTTCGTCAGCCCTGAGCAAAAAGCCAAAAATACACTTAGACCAGGTCTGAGACTCCACCCACGCCCCATGCCTCGGGCAGGTGCCAGAGGCCTGGGGTTACGTCGGCAACAGCATAGGGCAACTCCCTCCTAGCAACGCCCAGTGCAGCTCTGGGGAGGTGTCCCAGAGCCACTAACACAAGAGAGCCTCAGCACAGGCCTCTTCCTTTGCGGATCCTGCGCTAATAGCTGGGGTAACCCATCCTCCTCCTGCATAGCTGACCCCCACATGGAGGGTGTGGGACCTTGTCACGGACAAGTGAACTCCTAGCTGCAAGGAGTCATGCCCAGTGCACGTGTGGGGAGCACAGCTCTGTTGGGAAGCTGCACACGTATCAAGAAATTCTAGGGTAACAACCACGGCCCAGCTCCTCCTCTGCTCTTCCCTTCCCCTGCCTGGACTGCCACCACCTCAGCATAGGGTTGACTTTGTCCCTGTCTCCTTCCCTTGGCGTGTGCAAATTCCTCCCTTTCTATAGCAGCTGCAGTGTAAGCTGGGATGTGGCTTCTAAAAACCATGTAATGAGCCAGCTGGGGTAAAAGCCCGGCTGGTCCCTCGGTGGGTGAAGCCAGACAATTGCTGCGCTCTCGAATGGACTCACATGAAAATGATAAAAGACAAAATGTGCTCTCACCCAGGGGGCGAACGCTTCTCGCCAAAGGCTCACTCTGTTGTGAGCTCTTACGCTCAGGCCTTGTCCTCAAAGGAAACTGGCACCCTCAAAAGGCAATCCTGGGAGCTTAAATTCATAATTTTGCTAGCCACTAAAAATCTTGGGCTTCGTAAAGACGCTGGGTTTCGGGCGTATGACAAAAATCAGTAACCCACTCACCTCTTTGTCCTGCGGCCACAGGGGCATTAAAGGGGCCACATCACCTGGACTGGTCCCGTACCCTAGGTGTCAACTCCATATTCTAAACAATCTGTGCGACCTTGCATTTAGCTGTGACACCCGGAGTCCCTGTCCCACACCTGACGAAGAGCCCTGTGTAGCTTGAAAGCTCATCTCTCACACCAACAGGAGTTGGTCCAGGAAGAGCTATTACCTCACCCACCTCGTCTCCCCTAAAAGCTGGTAGAAGACGGAGATTCAGAAGCTTTGAAGAAGCATTTGCCCCCCTCTCGGCTGTAGCTATGCAAGCTCTAACAGGGCCATGTTCTCAGGGCTTCTCTACGCTGATTGGCCCAAACAGAAGGTCTGCTTACAGCTTTGTGTGCAAACAACACAGGAAACGAAACTGATTTCTTAGATTTCTATTTTCCAGCCCAAGTTGGACTTTATTCACCCTGGAAGAATCTTTCTTCCAAAGCCCGAATGAGGAATTCTGGGTGCTTAAAGTAGGATTTCATTTAAAGGCATCATTCACTTCCCCAGCAGTTCGTCTTTCAGGAATTGTGTATAAACGACATAACACAGTTTGGTGATTTTTGCCAAGACCCACTGACCCATCCACCCCTTGTAACACTGAAACAAACAAGCAAAATTAAGCCCCACCCCCACCCCCACAATGCTTTATGTAATTTATAGGCATCCCCTCACTTCTCCTTGAATCATCACCCACTGCACGCAGATTCCCTAGCCCTGGACAGAGTTAGAAGTGGTAGGTCAGGGCTATTAGAATGAAGGGTCTCTTACCCTCAGAGCAGCAACTTACCTCCAGCAGCGGGTGAGCAGAATGAATTGATTGCTGTGCAATGCAGCTGTATCAGGAGCTCAGTTTCCAGGCATCTGCTACTGCATGGGTATGTGTGTCGAGAGGACGAAGCATCCTGCACCAACAGCAGGGATGGCAAGATCCCACGCCCTGCTCCCCTTGAACCTCCCTGCCGCCGGACACCCGGACGCTGGAGGATTTGCATGTTAACATTTGTAGGGCACAAACAGAGAAAACCACTTGCAGTGCCTCCCCTTGTGATCCAGACCCAAATGGTACAGTCCTTCTATGCCAAGACAGTAAACCCCATCCTTGCCACATCCTAGCTGGGCCGGGTACCACCTCCCCGTCTCCTTGCCCAAGAAACATTCTGTAGATATAAGCTGCAAAACAACTGCCCCCCTGGGGTTCCACCCTCTTCTGTGCGGCTGTAGAGTGGCTAGAGGGGACCTCTGTGGTTTAAAATTCTGCTTGGTTGGGTTTTTTTTGCTTGTTACATTAGCCTAGAAGATACAGTGGTCAAGGCGAACTAGTGAAATGGTGACATCACAAGAGGCTGAAAGGTGAGTAATTGGGGGAGGGGGATTTTTAGTGACATGGCCCAAAACTCTGTTTTCTGTTTGATTTTAATACCCACGTAACTCTAATGCCTGGACTAGACAGAGAATGGTTTCATCCTGGTTTGAGACTGTCACAGTAATGGGGGATTGGAGGACCAGCTGCATCAAGCCACTGCACGAGGCCCTAGTAGCAGGGGTGCTCTTCTTAGAGCTTTCCCATCTCACTGTATTGCGTGTCTTGGGGCTGAGTCATCAAGAAACAATAAGGTACAATACTCCACTGAGTAACCTGCCACTGAGCTAGGAATGGCTAGCCATAGCCACATTGAGTGGCCACAAGATTAAACCCCAGGTTTATTGCAAAGCCGGCTCTGGATAGATCTATCTCTGGCAGAGGTCTAGAGCTTCTAGCTCTTTTTTCCACTTTGACAACACTTTGTTTTGGTCCTGGCAATCCAGTGGCATGAAGGTGTGTGTGCACATTCAGTGAGCTATTTTTCCACTGACACACAATCAACAATTTTCAACCATAACAACTCAGGGCATTTAAATTTGCAAAAGTTTATTGATTTCTCACATTTCAGCCAACAGCAATAATTCAGCCATAATCCCAACAGAACTTGACGTCTGTTGTGGAGAAGGTAGAACAAGCGACAAATGTGCGGGAGCTGTTTCTACAGGCCACTTGTTTTTGCATTCAGCTACAGAGCCATTTCTCTAACTTGCTACTTGATGCATAAGCCTGATGGTGCCATTGAGAAACTGCCAGCAGACGAGTCAGTGCGTCTTCCAGAGCATAAAGGAGCCGTTGGAGCTTTCAGAATAAGGCACTGGCTGCTGCCCCAACACCTACCATCACAGCTTTGGCAGCTACAGGGAGGCCTGCAGCACCTGAGAGGAAACAGAGAATCAGCTAGTCAGTATCACGACGTTATACTAGCAGGCCAGTTATCCCCTTCCCACATCCGGGCACTACAGAAGTCATGACTCTTTGTGCTTTCTGTATGGATGCAATAGGTTACGCTGTTGCTTGGCAGAGTCCCTTTTACCAGGAGCCAAGAGGCCGGTTCTGTACTTTGCTGACCAGCCTTGTTGGTGCAGCCTTGAACAGGAGTGGGATTTTCAAACACTCAAACACTGACACTATTCCCCTTAAAGTCAATGGGGCGCATCCCCAGCGAGAACAGAGTGAGGTGAGTGAACCCTGAGCACCTCTGAAGATCCCATCTGTTCCTCTACAGCAATGGAAGCGAGCAATGGTACGGAGTGAACACCTAGTGAACAGAGAAGCTAGAGCATGTTGCATCTAAGTGCTTAGCAGTTTATTAGCAGGATCTGTGGGGAGCAGGTTTGGCCAGTCAGGGGAGAGACTCATTCCTCATTACATGCAAGAGAAGTCAGAACCACCGCAGAAATGCCAGACTCTCTCCATGAAGAGTTGTTCATAGGGCAGGAGTGCACTACCAGACACACGTGCATTTCAGTGACAGGTTAGCTCCCTATTACTTACCAATGGATTGCAGGGTTGCCACAGCACTCCCAGCGGCTACCCCTCCTCCATTGGCTATGGCTGCTGCGGACATCATCTTGGCAGCAATGGACCCAGCTGCAATGCCTGCTCCAGTAAAGCCGACTGCCCCGACTACTACTGGGATTCCAACGAATGCCACGCCTACGTTATGACACAGTGATGATAAGCAAAGTCCAGGCTCCTACAGCAATTGCTTCTGCAGCAGAGCCAGCCCTCCATGGACCTGCACCCATCCACCCCCCCAGCTCCTCTCCTGGGTGGTCCAATGGATCGTGTGGTTAGCAACCAGGGAGGGCAACAGGGTCAGAGTGATATGAGAACCGCTCCCTGAACTGAACTTTAGCTAATCTGCAAAGCAAGCCCTAGCAGGGTGCACAAGTGGAGCTCAGAAGCAGCATCTTGCCTTCCTATCTCTGCTCAGCAAAGTGCATTGATGCTACAGGCCTTGCCGTACCCCTCTGGGGCCGGTTGCCCCTGGAAGGACAGCACCAGGGCAATAGCTGGGGATGGAACTGTCACCAAGGGCACGTACTGTATAAGGAAGGCCTAGGCCTGGTATAGCCCAGTGGGTACAGGCTCTCCATTTTCACACCAGCAAAATGAACGGTGGGCTTGCAGGGTTTCAAAGGTATTGTCTCCAGCCCCTGACCCTGCTCCCACAGCGACCCTGCAGCCTCATGTGGGCTGGGGAAGAAGTCAAGCCGACAGGCAGAGTTCTTGTTCCCCACCAGTCTATAACATTGGATGCCTGACTCTCCTGAGGTTCATTCGCACTAGGAGGGATCCCTGCACTGCTGGGGCAGCTGGTGAGCCAGGAGAGTCCCGGGCCGAATAAGTCTTTGATAAGTACAGATGTCAAGTGTCAACCAGCCAGTGCCAGGGGTTAGCCCCTTACCTGCTCCAATTCCTGCTCCAACCAAAGTAACAAGACTGTCTAGGGAATGAGAATCTGATGTTAGTGACCCAGCAAAGACATTCACATGCTATAAACATGTAATCATGCAAAGCTGGGGAGGTCGGTGCCATTAGTGAGCACCAGGATTTTTTTTTATTTGAACCTCTGTATCTAAAGCAGCTGGAGGGCCTGTTTCCAATGTGAAGTGTTTGATAAGGAGAGTGATGCCTCCTCAGCCTGGGGAATTACCTGATGGGTTCCCTGTCTCTGTCAAGCAGCATCTCACTGGCCAGGAGGCTGCAGCCAAGGCCGGGGAAGCCATGAAGAGCCTCAGCCCAATGTAACCGAGGCTCAGCATAGCAGAAAAAGAGGGAAGGGATTTGGGGATGCTCCAGTCTGTTGCAAAAGGAACATTTAAAAAAGAAGAACTGAAGTGGCTCTGAAGTCTCCACCCCATCCTGGCCCCAGCCCGGCCGCCCATGGGAGCAGGGCCACTCAGGAGGCTGTTTGCCCTGTGGTGGTGATGAGCCTCAGTCTGGCCAGCGCCAGGTAGAAGGAACCCAGCCAGTGGGGCTAGTTCTGAATTGTTCTCTTCACTACACGGGCAGACACTTCCTCACGCACGCGCCACTGCAGGAAGGGAGCACTGGGGCTGCACTGGAAGTGTCCAGGGCCTCCCCCTGTTCTGGGTTTCAAGGGGTGGCTGGCTGCTAGCACAGCGTGGTGACTCCGTCGGGGGGCAATTCTTGTTCAAGGCACAGGTAAATAAAAGGCTCTTACCAAGCATGTTTGCTGCGTGTGGCTCTGAGTCTGTCACCTGGGTATCGTTGGCCCTGCACAGAAAGTGGGAAGTGCAGTTAGTCCGGTTCTGAGCAATCTCCCAAATGCAGCCCCTGGGGGCCAGTGCCACGGGTGTGGGGCTACACCACTGGCCGCACAAGCCAGCACACGTGTACTTGCTGGTGTTTGTACATGCCCCAGTGTCACTAACTAGCCCTCAGCTTCTTACCCACATGCAGCCTGAGCTAGTGTCCAGGGGTAACCCATTCTCGCAGCTGGTCTGCAAGATGTCTCGCCAAACCCCATCGCCCACCTAGCCAACCCCAGCGCTCGGCTCTCCTGCATGCTTAGCACCCCTCCGATTGCACGTGGGGGATGCGTGGCTCTGTGCTACCACCCATCCAGCCTCGCTCCCTGCCCAGACTGTCCCCACCCATGCAGGACCTCCCTGCGCCATGCGAAGGGGGTTGTCTCTCACCCCTTTCATTCTTGGGCAGATTGTAGTTTAAATTCTTGCTGAACATTTCCCCTCCGGCTGGGGGTGCAAGCTCTGGGGCTGGGAATGAGGAGTTTGGGGTGTAGGAGGGTGCTCTGGGCTGGGACCGAGGGGTTTGGAGGGCGGGAGGGGGATTGTGTCAGGGGGTTGGGCTGTGGGAAGGGGTGCAGGCTCTGGGTAGGGCTGGGGATGAAAGGTTTGGAGTGCAGGAGGGTGCGTTGGGCTGGGATTGAGGGGTTCGGAGGGCGGGAGGGGAATCAAGGCCGGGGCAGGGGGTTGGAGTGTGGAGAGAGGCTCAGGGGTGCAGGCTCTGGGTGGCACTTACCTCAAGAAGTTCCTGGAAGCAGCGGCATGCCCCTTCTCCAGCTCCTATGCAGAGACATGGCCAGGTGGCTCTGCACGCTGCCCCATCCACAGGCACTGCCCCTGCAGCTCCCGTTGGAGCGCTGGAGGGGGGCCATTGGAGTGCATAGGAGCCAGAGGGGGGCCATGCCGCGGCTTCTGGGAGCCTCGTGGAGCAGCCCCGACTCTGCTCCCCGATTGAAGTGCTGGAGCGGAGCAAGCCCCAGACCCCGCTCCCTAGGGGGAGCTCGAGGGCCGGCTTAAAACGGCTGACGGATTTGGCCCGCGGGCCATAGGTTGCCCACCCATGCCCTAACTGCCCTGCAATTTTGTTGTACGAGCCTCCTCCATCCCTGCTCTCCCCCCGCTATACATTAGTGAGAGCCTCAAAGGAAACAGCTTTCAGAGCCACCTGCCTTGAACCCTTCCAGAATATTTTTTAAAACTGTTGTTCACTGTCCCCACCTGGTTCCAGAAGATTGTCTGAGACCGACTCAAATGCATCCACTAAGAATCTCAAAGCTCTCTGCAGAAAAGTTAGACTCGGGGGGCTTTTCAAGGGGTACTCACTTGAAATTTGGCCCACAATCAAAGACAACCCTTCCCTTCTCCCTGCCCCCCCCCTCCAAAAAAACAACCACCCAACCCAAACCTCACAATTCAAGAGCATTAGAGAAGTTTGCATAATCACTGATAACAAGCAGGTGAAAGAGGAGCCCTAGGTTTCAATTTCCCAGCCCAAGCTGCGAGAAATGAAAAGGAGAAACGAAAGTAAAAGCAAACTCGGACTTAAAAAATACAGTAGAACCTCAGAGTTCCGAACTGCCGGGAATGGAGATTGTGCCTAAAGCTGAAATGTTCGTATCGCTGAACTAAACGTTATGGCTGGTCTTTCAAAAGTTTACAACTGAACATTGACTTAATACAGCTTTGAAACTTCACAATGCAGAAGAGAATTGCTGCTTTTAACCATCTCAATTTAAATGAAACAAGCACAGAAAGAGTTTCCTGAGCTTGTCAAATCTTTTTCTTTTAAACTTTCCCTTTTTTTTTAGTAGTTTACATGTAACACGGCACTGTGCTGTACTTGCTTTCGTTTGTCTCTGCTGCTGCCTGATTCTGGTTCCAAATGAGGTGTGTAGCTGACTGGTCAGCTCCTAACTCGGAGTTTCTACTGTACTAGGTTTCTTAATTAGAAGTGTGGCTACGCACGGGAAAGAAATCAGATTAAAAAGGCTCTTGCTAATGGGGAAGTTACTTGGTTGGAAGCCATCTTTCCACATCTGTTGTAAATATCGTCTGCTCCAGGGAGAGCCTCACAGAGATAAGGTTGGCAGAATTACATTTTTTAAAATAAATTAACAGATACTGTTGTCTTTAAAAATGTGTCTATTTAAATGGTCACAGTGTGGGGTTTAAGCATTTTTATAGATTTAAATTTTCACCGTTGCAGGAAATTATAGGGGATGGGCAGGCAATGGGGTAAGGGTGTGTGTGAATAATTATTTAATGGCAGAAGACCTTGTTATTCAAAAAGTTAAAGCCTTATAACCTTTACGATGAATTGTCAACATCACATATCCAAATATCCAAAGTAAATAAATATCCTTCATTCAAACTCTAAGTTCTCTAGCAGCATTTGTCTTACTTTGCCTATCCATAAACTTCAATTATTGGAAATATTCTTTTGTGGGTGTGTGTGTATGCAGCAATCCACGTTTACCAATAAAAATCTAACCTTTGCAACCCTAATCAGAAGGTACCTGAAGCCCAGGCAAAGTTAAAAATGTTACTTATGTTATGGGGGGGGGAAGTAAAATTTATGGCGCTGCAGGTTCCTGTCATTTTCAATGTGTTTGTTTTTAGCACCATTGCAAGGTAAAATTCTCTTATCAACAGAGCAGCAACTTACCTTCAGCCTTGGGGCAGAATGGTCCACCCTCTGAGGGATATCGCTATATATAGGGAGCGCTGGACCCAGCTATATACAGTAAACCAGCTCTTGCGTGGGTGCGTCTAGACCACAGGACACGCAGCCCACCCCAAAGGCAGGGAAAATGCCTGGGTCCACTCGCTCCCTTTTAAACACAGGATTAGGGAGGATTCGCTTGTGAGCAGCCAAAGTGTGCTCAACCCCCCCTCCCTGCCCCCAACCCTAGCCCCTGCAATTCAGAGCCAGATGGCACCTGCTTTTAGGTACGCCGATCATTTCCTCCCCCTCCCCCCGCTTTCCTTACACTTCAGCCCTGGAGGGAGAGTCTAACGCAGTGGCTCTCAAACTTTTTTTACTGGTGACCCTTTTCACATAGCAAGCCTCTGAGTGCGACCCCCCTTATGAATTAAAAACACTTCTTTATGTATTTAACACCATTATAAATGCTGGAGACAAAGTGGAGTTTGGGGTGGAGGCTGACAGCTCGTGACCCCCCATGCAATAACCTCGCAATCCCCTGAGGGGTCCAGACCCCCAATTTGAGAACCCCTGGTCTAATGCTTGTCCAGCCCGTGTGCAGCATGGTGGCTTGTTTTGGTGGGGAGGGGGGTTTGGGGTTTTTTGAAATATGAACACACCTACTGACTAGGGCTGGCCAGAAAACATTTCCACTTCATAACTAGCATAAGACCCTTCCTGAGCATGTGTGTGTTCCCGAACAACCCTGGGGTCAGGGCGCTCACCTGTTCGTCTGCTCGGAATGAGGCACGGCAGGACCTGGAAGCCAGGACTCCCACAGCCCAGGGGAGGTGTCAAACCAGCGGGCTATCGGCAATCCCAAGAGCGTTCTCTTTGGCAGAGCAGAAGTTCCCCCCTGAACTGAGTAACCTGCCCAGCAGAAGGTTTGTTTTTGACCAACCGGCATTTTTCAATTGGAAACCATTTTGTTGAAAGTTTCCGGTCCTGCTCTACTGCTCATGGGTCTGCCTGCCTGACAAACGTTATCCAAAGGAGGCCCAGAGCAAACCCCATTCCGGTTCTGCCTCTTTATTTATTTTTGCTGCTTCCTGGTGGATAACCAAGGGCCTGAAACCCTTTTCAAAAGATTATTCTATGTTGGTGTGACTCCTGCCTGGCCTCACGGGGAGAGGTTTGATGAGATTTCCTTCGTTGGTTTGCAAGTTGACTGGAGATCCTCAAGAGAAATGCAGCAGAATTAAAACAGAAACTTTCCCGAGTTTCCCTGAATAGTTGTGTTCCCCCCCCCCTTCCCCTGACAGGAAAAGGGGCTCTTTGTAAAAAGGCAGGTTAGTGGCTTGGCAGCTCTGGATTGGAAGCTGTCCTCACAGAGCAGGCCCTCTGCCCACAGGGCTGGGCTGGAGGGAGAGGGAAGCTCAGTCTGAGGTCCAGTCAGCCCTTTGTTTCTCTGCTGCAACTACCCCCAAAGGTTAGGGATAGGAGCAAGTTAAATGAGGTTGCGGGATGCAGGGAATTGTCCACTGGGATCTACACTGAAACCAAAACTCACTGTATATTGGGCACTAAAGCCAGACAAAGGCAAGGCACTAGCATTGAGAGGCTGAGCCAGGCGCTTCTTCCTCGGGAGTTACAGCACAGACAGCTGCTTTACTGCGCAGCAACGTGCCAGTGTAGACAGGGCCCCACCAGCGTAACAGCATTCGCTCCTCACCGGCTTTGGATGGGATGCCTTGGGCATCCTCACGAGCAGCTGCTGCCGCGGGCAGCATTCTGCCCTCAGTGGCACCTGGGCAGCCGTCCGTCTTCAGCGGGTTTCCTATAGGCAACTGTTTGGAGCTCAGTAAGCAAGCCTGTGGACGATGCACAAGGTGGAAATGGAATCTAGCTCCTTCTCCCATTGCTGCGTGGGGCTGTCGGACGAGTGGGAATGAAGCCAAAACGAAGCAAGTGGCGGTGGCTGGTCATTGACACCACTTCCCCGTGTGCAAGGATCCACTTCCACGTCGTTCAGCACTGAACTCATTGTAACTATACCATTTCTTTTGCCAAGTTGGGCAGCTGCAGGAGGGAACCCACAGTTTGTGCTTCCGAGGAAGGGTTCTCTCGTCAGCCAAGATAAACGCAGCTGGCAAGGGCTGCTTACATCGCAGAACTAACTTCTGCCTTCGAATCAGATCTCTTCTCCACGGGGCTAGTGCATCTCTTCTCTCATGCCAATGCCCAAGAAGCTAGAGGCTTCTGGCTCAGCCAGTTAGGGTGCCCAGACAGCAAGTGTGAAAAATCAGGACGGGGTTGGGGGGTAATAGGTGCCTATATCAGACAAAGCCTCAAATATCGGGACTGTCCCTATAAAATCAGGACAACTACAGCCAGTCTAACAGGGGCTGGGAGCAGGTTTCAGGCACTCAGATTGATTTGATCTTCGCAGGCTACTGACAAGAACAGTGTTATCAGCATTTCAGAAGGAGGGTTAAATAGCTGACTCAATTGCAGCCAGAGAGTAAAATTGATAGCAAGTCCTAAACCCAGGAGGGCGACTGAAGGCCTGGCTGAGAGCGAGGCATAGGGCTAGCTAGAGATTGTGTTGTCACTTAGCCTGGGCAGGTGGGATTGGCAGCATCCACACTCAGGAGCAGACAATGCGTCTGGTGTGAGATTTCTCTATTCAGCCTATTGTGTCTTCTCAAAAACCCCACAGGGGACAGGCCTATGTGCGCTTCAGGGAAAAGATACAGGGAGGATCAGCTGATACAGCAATCTGCCACCCAGGCAGGATTGGACACAGAATTCACTCCATAAGCATCTCGCTTGGAGAGGCTTTCACAACCTCTGATGCTCCCAAGGGTTTTGACTCTCCCCACATCAATTTCAAACCAACAAGTTTGTCCATTTAAAACCAGCTTTATTGTTTTCACACCCCCCTCCCGCACCATAATCAGAGCAGCTCAACAACGGTCAAAGAGAAGGCAGAACAAGTGACACCTTTGCAGTAGCTTTTCCCAGGCAACAACGAAGTAACTGCCACACCCCACATGCTGTTCTGGCCCAGCTTTGCAGTTTAAGGGTTTCCAGGACTGGTCAGTGTCTACTTCTGAGGCCAGCAGGGCTTGCACGGCTTTCATTCATTCTTAGAGAACCAGGAGCCAACAGCTGCACCTACAGATCTGAGTACAGTGCCCAGCCCAACTTTAGCACCTACTGAGAGTCCTACAGCGCCTGCAAAGAATCAGAGGAACAGCTAGTCAGTATCACTACATTGCACTAGTCCGTTGACTCTCTTAGAGGAGTGACGTCTGCTCTTAGTAGTGTAAATCCAGAGAGACTCCAGAGATCAGTGGAGTCACTCTGGACTTGCACGAGCATAACTGAGAATAGAATCTAGCCCAGAGTCACTAGCTAACCCCTGCCGCTGGCCTCTGCGGATAAGGGATAGACTGCCAGTGAAATCTGAGAATTAACCCTTAATGCTTTCTGCACTGACATAATGGACTCTGCTATTTTAAGGCTGCTGGCTGCAGTCTTCTTTCTTACCAAGAGCTGCAAGACACTTGTGGGTTGAACACCTGTTGATCTGTGCACCTCTGCCTTGGCTCACTTGCATCATCCATTATTGGATGAGTCCCTGATCAGAGGTACGGTGAACCCAATACTGTATTTATTCCTAACCTGCCAGGGTTTTAGCTCTCATCTCTCCCCCTCACAACTCCTTCCTAGAGGAAATAAATCCTTTGAGCGTCTAAACCCAAACATGTGGGTTAGTTCTTGTTCCTGCAGTGAGCTGAGCATGCACCCCAGTGCAATAGCTCATGCAATGCTGGGACACGTACAGCATCCTTGCCTCAATTTCTGATGGCTTGAGCTGTGGATTCAAGGAAGCACCTCCCTCCCATCCCACCCCCATGGTAATCGGGACCTACACCTTTAGATGCAAATGCTGGAAGGCACAGAGCACCAGGGACTGGCCTGACAGTTTAACCGAAGTTAAAAAGCTATACTTGGTAAGATACTGAATACACAACATGATTAATGCTACTTATTTCGATGAGGTCAGGCCTAAGCTAGCCAGACCACCACCATCACCAGCATACTGTTGAATGCATGCAGCGCTGCCCCTGCAGGTCACATTTGCAAGGTCAGTTAGCAACACATTTGGTCAAACAATATAGAGACGTTGCTCTTCCTTCTAAAGGAAAATCAGAGCTTGTCTGGAAGTGGCAGGATCACTTTTCCATGGTGAGTTCTTCGCAAGGCAGGAGAGCACTGGACATGTGTCTGAATGAGGCATCACCTCCTGATGCCCCGTAGGCTTACCAGCTGATTGCAGGGCTGCCACAAGACTCCCAGCAGCCACTCCTCCTCCATTGGCTATGGCCGCTGCTGACATCATCTTGGCAGCAAGGGCTTAAGCTTGGCAGCAAGGGCATTAAGCTTGGCTTAATGGTGAAATCTTAGCAGATCTTAAACATAAAAAAGAAGCTTACAAGAAGTGGAAGGTTGGACATATGACCAGGGAAGAGTATAAAAATATTGCTCGGGCATGTAGGAATGTTATCAGGAGGGCCAAATCGCACCTGGAGCTGCAGCTAGCCAGAGATGTCAAGAGTAACAAGAAGGGTTTCTTCAGGTATGTTGGCAACAAGAAGAAAGCCAAGGAATGTGTGGGCCCCTTACTGAATGAGGGAGGCAAACTAGTGACAGAGGATGTGGAAAAAGCTAATGTACTCAATGCTTTTTTTGCCTCTGTTTTCACTAACAAGGTCAGCTCCCAGACTGCTACGCTGGGCATCACAAAATGGGGAAGAGATGGACAGCCCTCTGTGGAGATAGAGGTGGTTAGGGACTATTTAGAAAAGCTGGACGTGCACAAGTCCATGGGGCCGGACGAGTTGCATCCGAGAGTGCTGAAGGAACTGGCGGCTGTGATTGCAGAGCCATTGGCCATTATCTTTGAAAACTCGTGGCGAACCGGGGAAGTCCCGGATGACTGGAAAAAGGCTAATGTAGTGCCAATCTTTAAAAAAGGGAAGAAGGAGGATCCTGGGAACTACAGGCCAGTCAGCCTCACTTCAGTCCCTGGAAAAATCATGGAGCAGGTCCTCAAAGAATCAATCCTGAAGCACTTGCATGAGAGGAAAGTGATCAGGAACAGCCAGCATGGATTCACCAAGGGAAGGTCATGCCTGACTAATCTAATCGCCTTCTATGATGAGATTACTGGTTCTGTGGATGAAGGGAAAGCAGTGGATGTATTGTTTCTTGACTTTAGCAAAGCTTTTGACACGGTCTCCCACAGTATTCTTGTCAGCAAGTTAAGGAAGTATGGGCTGGATGAATGGACTATAAGGTGGATAGAAAGTTGGCTAGATTGTCGGGCTCAACGGGTAGTTATCAATGGCTCCATGTCTAGTTGGCAGCCGGTATCAAGTGGAGTGCCCCAAGGGTCGGTCCTGGGGCCGGTTTTATTCAATATCTTCATAAATGATCTGGAGGATGGTGTGGATTGCACTCTCAGCAAATTTGCGGATGATACTAAACTGGGAGGAGTGGTAGATACGCTGGAGGGGAGGGATAGGATACAGAAGGACCTAGACAAATTGGAGGATTGGGCCAAAAGAAATCTGATGAGGTTCAATAAGGATAAGTGCAGGGTCCTGCACTTAGGACGGAAGAACCCAATGCACAGCTACAGACTAGGGACCGAATGGCTAGGCAGCAGTTCTGCGGAAAAGGACCTAGGGGTGACAGTGGACGAGAAGCTGGATATGAGTCAGCAGTGTGCCCTTGTTGCCAAGAAGGCCAATGGCATTTTGGGATGTATAAGTAGGGGCATAGCGAGCAGATCGAGGGACGTGATCGTTCCCCTCTATTCGACATTGGTGAGGCCTCATCTGGAGTACTGTGTCCAGTTTTGGGCCCCACACTTCAAGAAGGATGTGGATAAATTGGAGAGAGTCCAGCGAAGGGCAACAAAAATGATTAGGGGTCTGGAACACATGAGTTATGAGGAGAGGCTGAGGGAGCTGGGATTGTTTAGCCTGCAGAAGAGAAGAATGAGGGGGGATTTGATAGCTGCTTTCAACTACCTGAAAGGGGGTTCCAAAGAGGATGGCTCTAGACTGTTCTCAATGGTATCAGATGACAGAACGAGGAGTAATGGTCTCAAGCTGCAGTGGGGGAGGTTTAGATTGGATATTAGGAAAAACTTTTTCACTAAGAGGGTGGTGAAACACTGGAATGCGTTACCTAGGGAGGTGGTAGAATCTCCTTCCTTAGAGATTTTTAAGGTCAGGCTTGACAAAGCCCTGGCTGGGATGATTTAACTGGGAATTGGTCCTGCTTTGAGCAGGGGGTTGGACTAGATGACCTTCTGGGGTCCCTTCCAACCCTTATATTCTATGATTCTATGATTCTATGACCCAGCTGCAATGCCTGCTCCAGTAAAGCCTGCTGCCCAGATTGCTACTGGGGCCCCAATGACTGCAACTCCTGCATTAGAGACACTGCAGTGTTAAGCACAGCATCGGCTGTTAGGCCAGGTCTATGCTACATATTTACAATCAGTGTAACTACATCCCCTAGGGGTGTGAAAAATTCACACCCTGAGCAACGTAGTTCTACTGACCTAGCCCCCCAGTGTAGACAGCCAGGGCCGCATTAGACTTGCTAGGGCCCCAGGCAGAAGCGAAGGAGCTGAAGCCCGAGTTCTGCCATGTGGGGATGAAGTTACCCGATCATGTAACTTAGCTTTGCGGGGGCCCCTGTGGCGTGGGGCCCCAGGCAACTGCCCTGCTTGCTGCCCCCTAACGCCAGCTCTGCAGACAGCACTATGTCAAGAGGGGAGCGTCTCCCATCGACACAGCTCCTGCCTCTGGCAGAGGCGGATGAACACGGCGATGGGAGCAGCTCTCCCGTCGGTGTAGTAGCACCTTCACGAAAGTGCTACAGCAGCACCGGTGTACGTGTCGACAAGCCCTTCGACTGGCTCCAGCCAGAAGAACGTCCGTGAACCAGCTCCCACCCACAGCTCCCACAGAGCTGCATGCCCTGACCTAGACTGCCAGGAAGGGCTACAGGGAGAGTCATCCCAGGCAAGGCAGATCATTGGAACAACCAGGGCTAGGACACCCCATGCCTGGAGGGCCGTCCAGTTCTGCAAAATAGGCTCAGCCCCCCGTGGGCACACACACGAGTTCAAATGCAGATTTCTGCTCCCCAGGCCAGTGACCCCATTCTTCCTCTGGAGCCGCTGCCGACTCACTGGGACACAGTCAAGCAGCCAATGAGGTGTCCCTGCTCCCTACAGGCCAGCATGTTCACTCATCTGGAGTCTCTTTGCCACCACTCAGCATGACACCTGCACTGTCTGCAGGGGGAGAAGCTGTGCCACAAAAAACTCTGGATGAATTAAGTGCTTTGAATTAGCCCCTTACCTACTCCGACAGTTGCCCCGATTGCTGCTTTCATGGCTTTGCTGCTGGACTCTAGGGAAAGAGAAGATTGGCATCACTACAATGAGATCAGCAAATTTTAAACACATAGACATGGAGGAGGAAGCCAGCTCCTGGTGCAGACACCTCCATGGTCCAGGCTTGTTTCTAAATCGCTGTCTACATTTGCTGGATTTTGCTCTGCTGCAATGATCAGTAAGTACTTCCACACAAAGCAGGCACTTGCCAACAGGACACATTTACCCAGCAGATCCACTTTCTGAAGGGTTCCTTTGTCCTCTTCATTCAGGAAGGTCTCTCACCAGCCCAGAGGAGGAGACTGGAGCAGCAGGAGAGAGAAGATTGTACTGCACTGGCATTCCAGAAATGGTGGTCCAGGTAAGAGCAGCGGAGAGAAGAGGCAGAGCGTTTCAGATGCTACAGAAAATACATTACCAGTAGCACTGGATACTAACCCACACTGAGCACACGCTTCATGAACTTCACTCGGAGCGGAGGCCCTCTGTCCTTACACACGTAAAGCAGATTTGCCTCAGTATTGTTTGCTCTGAGGGGTGAAGTAATCATCCACTTAGACCAGCTTAGAATATTTTTATTTCCAGCTGTCCCAACAAATTTGGGGGGCGGGATAGCTCAGTGGTTTGAGCATTGGCCTGCTAAACCCAGGGTTGTGAGTTCAATCCTTGAGGGGGCCATTTAGGGATCTGGGGCAAAAATTGGGGATTGGTCCTGCTTTGAGCAGGGGGTTGGACTAGATGACCTCCTGAGGTCCCTTCCAACCCTGATATTCTATGACATTCACCCCACCACTGGTTTCTGCTGTGGAAGTGTGTCTACTCTACAGAGCTGCCTTGATTGACCCTATCTCAGCAAACTTCTCCTGATTCAGGCTAACATGCGACAGCATGACCTTGCCATAAGTCAACAAGTGTGTGCTGCTGCGGTGGGCTGTGACTCCCTGTGTCCGCACTAACACTGCATCCGGTTGTGTTACACGAAGGCTTCTGGGAACGTGTCCCAGGGTTCACAGCATCACTACAAACTGCACCACTCTCCCTAGGCATCATGGGAGAACTCTGCTCCCTTCCAGGGCGGATCTGAGACTGCAAAGATCTAAAACCTGGAAACTCCCACAGTCCATCTCGTTCCAGGAAGCCAGCAGGTGTGGTGGCATGGAGCCCGCACACAGCAGTGACACACACTGCTGCTAGTAGCCGTTTCTATAGAGCTACTGATGTCTTGGCAAGAGAAGCAGGTACAGCAGAAAGCAGCAGTAAGTGTCCCAGCAGCAGCCTTGCCCAGAGAATGGCAAGGTGTGATGTTGACAGGAGAATGTGTCAGCCACATGCAGAGCTTCAGGAGACAACTAAGAAGATAAAGGGGAATGTTTTAGACTGAGTGGGTTCAAGAATCTGAATCTTTACAGGCTACTTTCTACTAGACCTCCAGACCCTGGCAACAAGAGGTGACCTATACTCTCAAATGTTTGCTTTGTATGATGGAGACAATAGTGATTTATAGGTGCTGGGGCAAACGGCTCTGTTTTGGTGCATCTTGTGAACAAACCAGCATAAGAAAGCTCATTAATTGAATACATGCAAAAGCCAATTCCACCCCCCATAAAATGTGAGGTCTTCCCAGAGAGGGATGTTTCAAAACCCTTTCTAGTGAGGATTAGCAGCCGGATTGTCATCATCAGTACGCAACAGCACTTGAAACATGCCAGGTAGTTCAGCATGACCAGATGAAAGGGAAGGAGCAGTTTAAATGTTAGTGGTGGTTACTCACTGACAGCAGCCATACGAATGCTCTTGCTGAATTCTGCAAGTCAAGCTCTAGACAGGCACTGGTGCGCTAAATGCAGCTGGCAGACGTTTCAGCCCAAGATTATTTATTTTACAAAATTTTTTAAAAAGCAGCAGATTTGGCATTGCTAAAATGCTGTGCAGATTTGTGTGGCTTTCACAGAATTGTGTGTGTCAAAATTTCAAGAGTCAAAGGTGTTTTGACTTTTTAGTTCCACACAATTTTGTTTGGACATTTCCTTCAAAATTTATTGTTTAAAAATATAAAGAAAACTCAATCAGAACAAAGTGTCTCGTTCACCCCCAAAACAAAAATTTTGCAAATGTTAAATTCACTGATATTTTAAAAACCTCACACTACCTGGATTTTGGCTCAAATCCTTCCCCAAAGCAAAAAAAAAAAAGTTTTTGAATTGCCAGGATACTGAGAAACCCACACGGCTTTCAACACCAAGTGGCATGGAGCATGTGACAGAAACTAGGTGTTTTAATCCGATAGAGGTAGTGAAATTGCACATCAGAATAAGTTCTCTCTTTCCCACCCCTGCACTGGGCTTGAATGCGCGGGGTACCATTAGCACATATGCCTTCCTCGTAGCAGAGAGGGGATGTCATAGGAGCAGGAAGAAGGTGTTGTGCAGCAGAGAGGTGTTGCCTCATTCCTGACCTTTGGGCATGCTCCCTTCTGCTGCCTGCGTGGCTAACCTTGGATGCCCACAGTGACATGTGGATACATGATGGGTGCCTGGTTTATGAGCAGAGATTAAATAACTAGCTGTGCACTTTTGAACATGCAAAAATCCTGCACTGCTTTGCTTAGTGTGCTATAAAGAGACAACCCAACTGTGTCTTGCTTATGAGGGGGGCTCATTTCACAACAAGGTACTGTGGTTGAACCGGAGCTCCTTTGCCCTCTGCAGTCTGACTGTTAATGGTTTCTCACCGCACCCCACCCTAACCTACTTCAAATCCATCTGGGGACGTGCATGGTCTAGGGGGAGAGGGTGAAAGCTGGAAGTTACTGCCCACTAGGGAAGCTGTATCTGTCCTTAGTCATTATTGCCACCTCACTGTTCATAGTGTCGCCCCCTCCCACCCCCCACCCCATAACAAGTAATGCCAGTGTACATCACCCATAGGCATAGTCAGCAAGGGGATTTACTGGGCTCTGATTCTGGTTGCTCCTCTGTGTCCGTCTCACCCAGTTCCTCTTGGTCTGGCGCCTGGTCAAACAGCTCCTCTGGCTCCTGAGAAGGATCTCCAGCCGGAGGTGACCTCGTCTCAGGCCAAGGCAGGGCCAAAGCAGCAGGTGCTAGTTCAGAACATGGTGATTCACCCACCTTGGCCTCCATCTCTGGATCTGAAATCAGAACTGGCAGCTGAGGGTCGAGGACCTACATGGCCAGCATGACATGGCTGTGAACGTCAGGGCAGGGTCACTTCCTGAGAAATGCTACTTTTAGGGAAACGATGTTAAGTGAATCCAATTTCCCCATAAGAATTAATGTAAATAGCGGGGGTTAGGTTCCAGGGAAAATTTTTTCACCAGACAAAAGACATTATATACACACACACACACACACACACACTGTATATGTTTTAAACAAACAATTGAACACTGTACACAGCAACGATGATTGTGAAGCTCGGTTGAGGTGGTGGAGTCAGAGGGTGGAAGAGGGTGGGATGTTTCCCAGGGAATGCCTTACTGCTAAATGATGAACTAGCACTCAGCTGGGCCCTCAAGGGTTAACACACTGTTGTTACTGTAGCCTCACACTCTACAAGGCAGCACAAATGGAGGGAGGAGACACAACGGACGCATGGCCGTGGCTGCAAACATTCCCCTGCGGAAACTGAACGTGATGATGAACCCAGGCTATGCCACTGGAGCGCACCACTCCCTCCACTTTCCAAAGTGACGAGGGGTGCATGTGTGTGTGAGACAGAGACACACACACCAGGTGTGTGTGTGTGAGAGAGAGAGAGATGCACATTGCCCCTTTAAGTACGCTGACCCCACTCTAAGTACACTGCCTTTTTAAGTAGATCAGCAAGTTGAGACAGCAGCTGCTGCCAGCAAGCTCCCTCCCTCCTGAGCCCTGTTGTGTCCTCTCTGCTCTGTAGAGATGGAGTCCAGGAGGGAGAGGGCACCCTGACATTGGCACCCCTCTTTCCCCACTCCCTGCACAGCAAGCAGGAGGCTCCAAGGCAGAGGGCAGGAGCAGCAGATGGCAGTGGGGGGAGGGACAGATGAACTGCCGGTAATTGGTAGCCTGCTGGGCGGCTGCCCTCCAGGGAACTTAGGGGAGCAGGGAGCTGAGAGGGGGGCTGCTGGCCCACCCTGGTTCCGAGACCCCCCATCCCAGCCAGCTCGCTCCAGGGGGCTGCTCTTCCTGCAAGCAGTGGGCAAAGCCGGCGGCCGCCAAACGACGTTCTACGGGAGCATTGCGCAACGTTAAACGAGCATGTTCCCGAATGGATCGGCGAGGTAACAACGTTCACCGGGACGCGGTTAAGTGAGGAGTTACCGTACAAACATTCTACAGCTTGCCTCGGAGGCCAGGGGTGGAAGTAGAAATAGGGACTTACCGGTACGGGGCTGAGTTGGGGCTGGCTCTGGCCCCCGGAAGGGGCGGGGATGGGGCAGATCAGAGCCAAGGTAAGTGCCCTTCCCCGTCCCCACCGGAGTAGCAGCCGGCAGCCGCTACCGCCCTGGGCCCTTTAAACCGCTGCTGGAGCCCCGGGCTGCCACTGCGACCCCAGGGCTCTGGGGGCTATTTAAAGGGCCTTGGGCTCCAGCCACTGCTGGGAGCCCCAGGCCCTTTAAGTGGCCACCTGGGGAAGCCGGGCCGCCCCAGTACGGCGCAATGGCTCTTGCTGGTACCCCGTACCGGGGCGCACTGGCTTACTTGCACCTCTGTGTGAGGGTCACAATTCGTGGTGCGCGTTCCCCTTAGCGAAAGGGACGTGGAGACAGTTACGACCCATGGCTGAGGGGGGGTCCTGGATCCACACCAGCTTTCTCAGCCCTGAGCAGGAGGAGACTGACACGCAGCCAGGCCAACTTCTGAGTCCCCCGCTCTCACCTGGGGCCCGAGGGGCAGGGGCAGGGTGTGGGAGAGACGAAAGCCGAGGCTAAGGACTGGCACTCTCAGGATCCAGCTCCGTCAGTTCCCACGGAGCGAGGGCGTGATTTCCGGGGCGCACATGCACGCCAGTGCTATTCTCTCAACAGGGCATCGGCACGGCTAAGCCGCCCGCTCGGGCTGCAGGTTGCTAGGGCAGCTCACCTGCACCCCACACCTCCGCCCGCGCGACTCCCTCCCCCAGCTCATTGTCACCATAGTCCTGCCACAAGCGCCATCCGGTTGCAAGGAACCAGGGCTCCGTTGGAAGGGGGCTCTGATCACGCCCCCCCAGCCCCGCTCCTTTCTGCTCTTTTCTCTTCCCACTAAGCGTAGAAAAACATGCCAGGAGCAACCGACGCCTTACGGTTTGACGCCTCAGCGGGACGGCCCAAAAGGAAGGAATGGGCCCCGCTCCCATCCACGGGCGCAAGCGGCTCCGCCTCTATAGCAGCAGATCCGGGAACGGGCCGCGTTGCTCGTGAGATCGCAACTGCGCAACCAGGGCGGCACTTGGCCCCCTCCCAGCCCTGGGCTCCTGACGCAGCTGGCCTTGGGCCAGGCAGGAACAAGGAGCTTTACGGTGGCCGCAGAAGCTTTTCTCTTCTTTTTCTTTTTTTAATTGCATCGGTTTGACTTCTGCTGCCATTGCGGCCACGGGGAGCTGTCAGCCCCTTCGTGGAGTGACTCCATGTAGGCTTCCCAAGATGAAAAGCTGTGGGTAGATGGCTAGGGACAGGACACCTGCTTCTGGCCCTTTAAAGGGACAGCACGAAGCCATGCCTTTAAGATGAAATTTGCTACCTGCCTGCAGTGCAATCCACATGGAGTAAAAATAACCCTAGACAACCCAGTTACCTCAGGGCAAGTGAAACCCGGACAGCCAGTCCACGCCAAACGCCAGGGGTGGACGGGTGGATGTAGGAGACAGACGTGGTAACAGCACAAGGATCCTTCAGAGATGTCAGGTTTGGCCTCAAGGGTAGACACCTGAGTCTGCTGCAAAACCCAAGCCCACTGGAGAAGTCTGCACAGACCCTACAGCCTTGTGACTGCATTAGCTCCTGCTTCCCAGCCCATCACGGGGGAGAACGCACAGAGGAAGTGGCCCAGCCAGTGCAAGGCAGAACTGGATTCGAACAGCTGTCTCAGGTTTAATAATTAAAGGCAGCATTAGTAGCTTGGGATAAGGAAATCTGCCTGCTTAAAATAAGGGTTAAGAGGTTCCCTTTCACACAAGACAAAAAAAAACCTTGTACAGATACAGACATAAATTTGTTAGTCTCTAAAGTGCCACAAGTCCTCCTGTTCTTTTTACAAGACAGTTAGTTCTCCTTCCATTTCTGTTTAAAATAGTCTCCCTTCCAAACAGACCTGCTCGGAAGATTCCCCAGCCCCAGATAGAATTAGCTAGGCCACTTGATCATTGCAAATTTCACTTACTCACAGAGCAGCCGGGCAGTAAAGAGAAAACACTCCAGCTATAGACAGGGAGCCCAGCACCCAGCTCCAGGGAGTCGGCTTTTATGTGGTTGTCTATGGATAGAGGAATACGCAACCCATCCCAAAGGCAAAGTAACTCATTAGGGAACCCTGCCCATTTAACCTCTCCCATACTTTGCACAGAATTAGCAGGACTTATTTATCATTAATGTCCTTAGCACATAAACCCTCCCGTACCCACCTCAAACTTCTCCCCCCTGTGACCAGATGGTTTAGTCCATATATTTTCTGATCAGGTGTTTAATTCCAAGGCTGGGCACTAGAAAGTGAGTGATTGAGGCGGTAGCTGTCTGCCCCATAAACATGGTGCAAAGGTGGCCTGCAAAGCGAAAAGGACCACGGTGCTTTGTTTTAGTTCTTTATGGTGGATAAAAAGGGCTAAGAGGATTACAAATTCTGCATGGGTTTTTTTAACGTTAGAAATTAAGGTCTTGTTTAGCCTACGTGCAACTGGAGAATGAGTGAAATGGTGACAGTGCAAGAGGGCAACATTTAGCAATCAAGAGAGGAAAAGATTTTGAGTCAGAGTGCTTAAGACTTTGTTTGACGTTAATGCTTTATTTAACTCTATTGCCCATCTTTAAAGATCAGCACCCCCACCTCTTCAGTTAAATGTAGGCTCCAACCCAAGGTCCATCTCGTCCAGTATCTCGTCCAACAGTAACCAGCCCCAGATTCCTCAGAGAAAGGGACAAGAAGCCCTGTAGCAGGCTTCTGTGGGATACTCTGCCCCACAGAAAGTTCTCATCCTAACCCCTAATAGTTAGAGACTGGCTTGAGCCCTGAAGCAGGAGGTTTTTTTTATCAAAACTCTCTGTTTTAGCATTATCTATGTTAGCTCTGTAGATTTCTGTTATCGATATAAACGTCCAGTCCTCCTTTGTGAGGGTTCTGGTCTCAACAATCTCCTGTGGCAGTGAGTTCCACAGTCCAATTAAGTGTTGAATGAAAGACACGAGGCAGTTGCCAGCATATATCCCTGAGAGCCACAGGGAGTCCTCCAGTGATATCATCACAGCCAATCTTGACACGGCTGATATTTCTAAGGTTAAAACTAAAAAGCGGGCAGACGGGGTAGGGGAGAACCCTTTCAGGCCATCTCTATCCACCATCAAGAACTGAAAAAGCGACATAAACCAAACTTTGAAACTCCCTTTGCAGGTCACAGTTAAATTCCTTTAGAGCTTTCCCTGTTTGAGATCCTGGGTAGACCAAGCTCCCAGGTCAAAAGCTGAAGCTAGCCACTAACCCTGATCCTGCACACGCCCCTCAACATAGGTTTAGCTTTTGTAAGGAGTCCCAGAGAAGGGGTCCCTGGGCAAAGGGAGAGATCTTACCACAAACCACTGTCCTCCAATGACTCTGGGAACTCCTGTCTTCTTGCCCCAGGGGACGGCGAACAAGCTGGATCCTATTAAAATACCCTGGTGCCTCCAAGCCGCCCCATTCTCCCACGTCTCGTTCTTCCCAAGCATAGCAGGCATATAAGACACACGTACACAGCATGCCGCACAGGTGCTGTCCATCGCCTGGTGAGGCTGGCATATGCGTCACTGCAGCTGGTTGAAGGGGACCAAATCCAGTTCCAAGTTGATCTGGTTCCTTTTTACCAGCCCCAGGGACACACTCTCTCCAGGGCCCAGTCCCACGTCGGGGCTTCCGTCCCCCCAGACAAGTATGAGCCTGTGGTCTTCCTCCAGTGGCCGGGGTGCAGACCCTGTCCTGAGCCAGTGTCTGCAGGATGTGAGGACCCCAGCCCAAAGATACATACTTCTTAACATTCCATAACGCCGGCTGACTCCCTATGGGCATATGAAGAAGTATGTAGGGTTGGGAGGGAGGGGCTGCTCCTCCAGGCCGTGCACCTGGCAGCCCCCATTGGTGCTTGGTTTGTTGCTGTCATCCCCTAAGCTGCGCGAGTCGGGCCTCTAGCTGTGCGGGCAGGATGGGGTGTGTGTATGAAAATAATTTTCTGGGCCCTTGCTGGGGTGCTGAGGCCCCGAGGGGCAAGCCCCCGCATGTACCAGCTCCCTGCAGCATGCACAGGGCTCGCCAGCCAGGATCAGCACCTACCACCATCTCAAGGCTGCCTTCCAGTAATCCTCCTGGACTGGACAAACCCCATCTCCTGGAGACTCCGAGGCAGCTGGTCCCAGTTCCCCCCTGCTCCAGCTCCTTCCCTGGGAGGCCCGTTCTGGACCCTGAAAAGAGAATGCAATGAAACAGCAGCTTTAGAGACTGTGGGGCAGGGGGAGCTCTGTCCCCTTGCCCTGTGTTGAGAGCATCCCCTGGGCAGGAGGGAGGTGGGAGCGCCTGATGGCGGGGCCACCCCCCACCCTGAAATGGCAAGTGCCCTTGGGGAGTTCAGCTCTGGCTCATGCTGGAGGTGGGGGGAGTTGGGGCTGTTGTATCCCCCACTGGAGCGCAAAGCTCTCAGGAAAGCCACATGGGAGACTGAGGGGCAAACCCAGGGCCTGTGCCCCTCAGGTCTGGCTCTTGCATGTCTCTGGCTGCAGGCTGATCATGCTCCAGCCTGTGGTGCTGATTCACTCTGCCAGGCTGCCAGCCTCTGGGCTGCACTAGGGAGGTTGGGTGAGCTGCAGAGGGTCCAGGTCTATGAAACAGTACAAATAACTAAGGGAATCGGCCCTGGAGACCCTGCTCCAAACTCCTCCCAAAGTACTTGTGGTTAGGGAGCCTCGCTGCGCTGATTTTGCCCATCCCTTGTTCCCATTCTCTATCCCATGCTCCTTTCTGTCTGCCCACCGGGCCAGCCCCTTCGCCCCTCTGTGCCTCAGTTTCTCTATCTGTAAAATGAGGCTCACGGGTTTCGCTCTATCTGTCAGGCTTCATTCAATGTTTGCAAAGCACTATGGGATCCTCTGCCAGCAGGTGCTAAACAAATGCAAAGTAATTCTACAACCCGGCTGCTGCCGTGGGTGTGGGTGTTTCTGTGCACACACACACGTGTGCGTGCATATGTATAAAATGTACACCGCTGTCCTCCGTTGAATAGAGTCAGACTGCTGCAATGTGCTTCATTGTCCCTATAGCGCTAACGCTGAAAGATGTTTAGGCCTGCGGTTGCAGAGCAAGATTGAGTTCTATCCCCAACACGGAGAACGGCTGCAATGCACAGGATGGCGCCAAAGGTCCCAAACCGGTCAGAGATCCGTTGCCGCGTGTATTATCTGCCCCCCCCCATCTCCATTAACAGTAACTTCCCCACAGTGATCCGGCTACATTAAAACCCTTCTCCGAACCAGCTTCATTTTTCATGGGACGACGACATGTTTTTACCAACCACGCTAAAAGCTCCACGTCCCCACCTCCTCTCCGCTCAGGAACGTTTTTCATTTGTCAGCTCTAAACGCTATCGATTCCCTCCGTGTAGCAGGGTCGGGGGAGAGGGGGGCAAGTGAGTCGGGCTGTAAAGGCAGAGAAAGAGGGACTGTCTCCTGCGTAACCTCTCCGTGCTGCCAGGGCACCTCTGGCCCGAGCGGCACTGCCTGGATCTGGAACTACATCAAGGAGATTACATTACCCACCTGGGGACAAGGGGGGCAGGATGGGCCTGGCTGAAACAACGGCGGTGAGACGTGCTTGGAGTCTGACATTTGCCTGTGGGTGAGACTGGGGGTGGCTCCTTGTCCTTTATTGAAAGGCTTGGGGGCGGGGAATGACTGGCTCCAGAGACCCTCTCGGTCATGAGTTCAAATGCAGCAGTGGGCTGCAGCTTGGAAAATCGTGCCACTCCAAGGAGCATGAAAAATGAAGCACTTACCGGAGACGGGAGGGTGCTCCTGACTGGGCTCCGGGCAGGTGGCTTATGCTAGTGTTACAAGCGTGCTCCATGTCTGCACAGCTGTAAATCGACATGGTGCCAGGAGATGGTGCTCTGGAACATGCAGTCTGGTCCCCGGGTTTCGGGGGCCAAGCAGACTTGCCGTCGGGTCTATTAGGCGCTGATATAAAGAGCGAGGACTCCCAATAGACACCTGGTTACTGTTTCACTGTCATTGATGCTAATTCTCTGCCTTTCATGGGAGCAGCTCGAAGCACTTTGCCTGTGTCATTAACTAATATAAATCTCCCCACTGTATTTTCCACAGTATGCATCCGATGAAGTGAGCTGTAGCTCACGAAAGCTCATGCTCAAATAAATTGGTTAGTCTCGAAGGTGCCACAAGTCCTCCTTTTCTTTTTGCGGATACAGACTAACACGGCTGCTCCTCTGAAACTAATTAAGCTTTGCAGCACACCTGCCAGGGAGATATAGGCCTCACCCAGCACTGCAGTGCAGCCACCTCTGGGGCAGAACACGGCAGCAGCTCGGCAATACAGGGCACCCCCTCTCAGTGGTTTAGAACAGAAGTAAAGAAATGGACTTTCTAAAAACTGCAGGGGAGCTGGGAGCTGTTTGGCTGACTGCAGTGGCTCTGTGAGCTGAGCTGGAGGTGCTGAACCCAGTTTGTAGTGGCCCACCCCACCTGTTGGCTGCCACAGCAGAGAGGCTGTGAATTTACTGAGCCAGAGACTGGACTTCCCGCCAGACATAAAGGGGCTGCCTCCTGGCTCAGGGGCAAGTGGCCTGCACTGTCCCTGCCACGACTGCACCTGCAGGCTGGGGTTGCAGGGCTCATCGGCATGAAAAACAAACCTCGTCCATTTCTGTCCAGCCCCAAATTCCAGGGCCAGGGGCAGCCGAGGGGCCTTGGCTGCGTTTGACTCAAATGGCAGATGAACAGCTTGGGCAGCCAAAAAGACTCCTCATTTTGCAGCTCCCACGAAAGCATGTGTGGGGGCTCAAGGGCTCAGGGTTGCCACTGGGCTGGCTGAGGGTCAAAGCAAATTGTCTCTCCCCACAGCAGGAGAAGGAGCTGCTTCCCCAAGCCAGGGAGAGGAGGGGGAGTCCTGCCCCTGCTGTTAGCTGGGCTCCTCCCGTTCCAGGCCTTGCTCTCTCTTCATGGCTCCTTACAGAATGCAGGGGCAGGCCAGGGTTAAGGGGCAGCAGATATATTCAGGGTAGGATGAGCCAAGGGCTGGCAGCAGCTTGCCGGGAATACTGGAGCAGGGACTAGTGTGACACCCGGGAAAGCAAAGGGGTGAATTCAGTCCTCCCGAAAGCAAGGGACAGAGCCAGCTACAGAGCAGGGGTGTGCTGGCAAGCATCCCACACATGGCTCTGCCGATGCCCCTCAATCCCAACCCACAGTCCCCGTCTATTCCAGCCCCTGGGCTCCCTTCACCGCCAGTTCTGCCAATGCCCCTCAACCCTGAGCCACAGTGCCCCTGCTACCCCAGTCCTGTGCACCCGCCCAGCTCTGCTGATACCCCTCAGTCCTGACCTACAACCCCCTGCTATTCCAATCCGGAGTAGCACCTCTCAGGGCACCTCTTGAATCCTGCTGAACTTTATAGTTTTACAGGGGTGGGAGAAACCCACCACTAGGCCTTGGCTAAGCCCAGCAAATGCCCTCTGCTATCATACACGGCTGCAGATAACTTTGCCCCCTGCATGGCCTAATCCCCACATGAGACTGCCTTTCTCTGAGGCAAAGGAGAGCAGGACGAAAACGTTTACTCAGCAGAACTGCTCCCTCCTTTCCCTAATGCACAGAGCAAGCGAAATCCAAGCCTGCGCTCAGCCCCCGGCTGGGGAGGGTGAGTGAGGGAGCACGGACCTAGAAAGGCCTGGCCAGCGCTAAACTTCAGAGAAACAGGCTCTGTTTCAACCAGAAGCCGGAGGTGACTTGGGGGCTCCTGTCACGCAGTGGAGGTGGGGGGTCGGGGCGGGGGAGGCTTTTCCCTGGTTCCAGCAATGAGCCAGTTTACACCTGTTTGACTGGACCCCAAATTCTCTCTGAGCCCAGCTCGGAGCTGACAGGCTCCTCCAGGTTCCCCTCCTGGCTCAGGAATCTTTTGTACCACGTGTCATTTGCATCGTGCCAGCCCTGGGCCAGGAACCTTTGGCCGAAGCAGAGCTGAGGCTAGACCCTGTAGCGAGATCCCCAGCCTGGTGGCAGGGCCACCACGTTTCTCCTTGATGCTTTCACTCAGGAGTCATCCAGTCTCACTGCTGCTTATTCATAAAGGGGAAGGCCAGTCTGGTGCTTAAAATACAGATCTGGGAGCTAGGACTCCTGGGTTCTTTTTTCAGGCTTAGGGAAGGAGGGAGGTTTAATAGCTGGAGCAGGGAACTGGGTTCTCCTGTGTGGATCAGAGACCTTCGGATAACAAATGGATATAAACTGGCCATCAGGAAGTTTAGACTTGAAATTAGATGAAGGTTTCTAACCATCAGAGGAGTAAA